AATATTCTAGCATCTGCATCGGGAAGGGTTTTGAGGGTTTCATCAAAAAAGAGAAAAACGAAATGTTGCTGTTGATACCACATAGTGATCAAGGACTTTCTTTTCTTTTTATGCGCCATGTCCCCTCAGGACGTAGGCGATCATGGCCCTCCACCTCCTTCTATCGCTTGCAGCGCGCAGCAAGTTCCTTCCCTCTGCTTCCACCTCAAGATCACGCTCTTTCATCCACCTGCTCAAGTTCGTCAGGTATGCCACACGCTGCTTTCCCTTGTCTCTTTTCCTCTATTCGACCAGTGAGTATCATATTCTCCAGGTCCTCCTTCCTCATCATGTGTTACAGAAACTTCAGCTGTCTCTTTCTGATGTGTTGTGGTAGATCCACCTAATTTGCACAGTGGAGTACCGACCATATAAATATGGTTGATACCGGGAAGAGAGGGAGGAATCAAGAGATTCAACCAGAGACCCTGCCCGACTGCGACTCAGTCAACACATTCTCCAGGAACGGTCTTACCAGGAATATACAAAAGACTATATGTAAATATTGTGTACACTTTCTTGTTTCAATACATTTTGTTCTAAGTACATTTTGTGTTGCATTATTATTCCATGCATTAGTCAAGTTTCAACATGATGTTAAGTATAAGCCTCCTCCTTGTTTGCAACCTCCCTAAGACCTCATCGTTGCTCCCATGCTCGGTCTATGATATCCATAGCATCCTTCTTTAGAACCACATCTCCGTCGCCTCTTCTTCATCTTTGAGGAAATCGTCCAACATTCGCTGCCGTAGAGAAGGACATATGTCACGTAACAGTTCAGTATTTTTTTCTTTGTTACCAAAGAAATCCTCCTGTCTCGCAATACACTGCCCAGCTTTTGGAATGCGTCCTTGGCCCTCCCAATACGCCTACGGATCTCAGCGTCGCACTTACCGTCTTCTGCCAAGATGCTTCCCAGGTATTTAAACTTCCGCATCTGCTTTATTCTAGTGTTCCCGATCTTCAAATCACATTCTGTAGTTTATGCTTAGTCCTTTCTTCTCACTCTCCGTCGCTACCTTCTGTAGGAGATTTTGTTTTATAAGAATTAAATTGACCACTTTCTCATATCGATTTTTAATTACAATTGCCAGATATGACCGTGAAATGGGAGTTCCGTTCATGGTCGAAAATCAGGCGAGAGATTCTACCTCTCAATCATGCAATAATAGAGTCTAAAATTCCCTGATGTCTGCGGAAATTACCGGGTTGGGACAATCATTTTTTTTTTGTAATTTATAAACAAAAGGTCTTCTTTTCTAGTAATTACTTTTTTCTTAATTATTTCTTTCTTTCTGCCTTTTCTACTTTTCGTTCTTTTTTTCCTTCATGCTTGCCACTCTTCCGTTCAGTTCTTGCTCTACCCTACTTGGGAGTCAGGCAACCTGAAAGTACCAAATTTAAGAAGAAACGAAGAAAAGCATAAAATGAATTAAAAACGCCTTAATTATTGCATGCCGGAAATAAAAATAAAAAATAAAAAAAAAAATAAAAAAAATGCATCCTTATTGCTAACTTGGCAGAGGCCGGGAAATTTCTTCACAATTAGCAGAAAAACAAAAAAACAAAAAAAAAAACATACGCAGAAAATAACAACAATAACAAAAACAAGAAGGCTCTAAATGACGAAGTTAAAAGCGAACAAGCAAAAGAGAAAGCGAGGGGGGGGAGTTTGCAGCTGCTCCTCTGAACGCCCCCCCTGACGGCCATTACGTGGTGTACGTTGTTAATGTTGCTATTGCTATTGGAATCTTTGTCTGTCTGTCTGTCCCTTCCTCTCTCTTTCTCTCTCTCTCTGCACGTTTATTTGGACGAAGAGAGGCGAGCGAAAATAGAGAACGATGATTAGGAGGGTCATGCATATATATATTTTTTTATTATTGATAATACAAGGTTATTGATTATCGATCAGCTGTGGAACTGAGTAAAGAAGGCAGGCGAACACATAGATACGGAGACACACGCTCTCACATAGGATCACACGGCGACACACATTCCCACATTGGATCACACGGAGACACATGCTGCGACATTGGCTCACACGGAGACACACGTCCTCACATTGAATGACAGGTCGACATAAATTTCCACATTGGATCACACGGAGACACACGTTCCCACATTGGATCACACGGAGACATACGTCCCCATAATGGATCACACGAAGACACGTTCCCATATTGGAACACACGGAGACACACATTCCCACATTGGACCACACTGAAACATACGTTCCCATAATGGATCACTCGGAGAACCGTCCCGACATTGGATCACACGGAAACACATATTCCCACATTCGATGCATCGGAGACACACGTCCTCCCATTGGATCACATGGCGACACAAATTTTCACATTGAATTACACGGAGACACATATTCCGACATTAGATCACACAGAGGTACTCGTTCCCACATTGATTCAGACGGAGACACACATCCCCTCACTGGATCATACGGAGACACATTCTGCCACATTTGATCACATAGAAACACACGTTCCCACACTGGATTACACGGAGATACATTCCCACATTGGATCACTCGGAGACACGTTCCCACATTGGATAAACACGGAGACACACATTCCCACATTGGATCACACGGAGACATACGTCCCCATATTGGATCACAGGGAGACACGTTCCCAAATTAGATCACACAGAGACACATATTCACACATTGGACCACACTGTAACATACGTTCCGATATTGGATTACTCGGAGACACGTTCCCACAATTGATCACAGAGACACACATTACCACATTGAAGACACACGTTCACACATAGTATCACTCGGAGATACACATTCCCACATTGGATCACACGGAGACACACATTAACACATTGGATCACTCGGAGATACACCTTCCTACATTGGATTACACAGAGACACACATTCTCACACTGGATCATTCGGAGACACACATTCTCACATTGGATCATTCGGAGACGCGTTCCCACACATGAGATCGCACAGATACGTATATAAATAATTTTGAAAATTTAAATAAATGGAAGTAAAACGTGAAAACTTCAAGTAATTCATTAAAATTTTTGGAAAAAGAGGAAATAAAACCTCATGTCTACGATGACGACTCTTTCTCTAAAGTCTAACTTACGGCCACATTATGTTTAAACAACACTTCTCGTACGATCACCAAAGTTATGCAACGTCGAGCTTGGTCAGTACCTACATGTGTGACCGCTTAGGAATACCAGGTGGAGTAAAGTTGAAAGTTGAGTGGTGTTGATTCGCAATTGTTAAACAGAGATTAAAGAGAATATATATATATATATATATATATATATATATATATATATATATGTGTGTGTGTGTGTGTATATATATATATATATATATATATATATATATATATATATATATTTAACGAGGATAGATGAGTTTGTTGACCCTGGGTTTCACGCTTTAGCGATCGTCAGTCGCTAAAGCTGAAACCCAGGGTCACAAACTGACATCTATCCAACCAAATATGTTAGCTCTATCTCTGATATTGAGCGCTTTCTAATAAGTACCGCGCATATAATATATAAATAATTATACATATATATATTTATTTATATTTATATACACTTTTCACACACATATATATATATATATATATATATATATATATATCATCCACAGACAGACTGTTTCGCTTTTATCACAGCTCTTCAGTATCCAGTATTGAATACTCTTCTATCAATGTACCAACTTTTGAGCAATATATATATATATATATATATATATATATATATATATATATATATATATATATATATATATGTGTGTGTGTGTGTGTGTGTGTGTACAGTGTGTGTGTGTTTGTCTCTTTCCTTGAAAGTGACGGACAACGAAAATAATACAAGTTTTTATGCAGTTTTTCTAATGTTCTTAGTTTTTCGTGGGGATCGAGTGATTACAGAAACTTTCTAACAACAGAAGAAAAAACTGTAAGAACACGAGAAAAACTGAATCAAAAAACTTATAAAATTTACCTTTTTAGCCACATTCAAAGAAACATGTATGTAAAAATATTTTAAATTTTCCAAATTAGGTGTTTTGCCAAACTTACCGATAACAGAAAAACATCGAATCCTGAAAATTTATTATTTAACCAAATATATATATAGTTATATATATATTAAGACACTTTTTATGATTATACGTTCTTTTTATAGATACATATATTTAAATAAATGTTCTGTTTATAATAAAAAGTATTAATGAAATTTACCGGCTTCAATGTCCGATTTTACTATTTTTAAATTACCATTCTTCATGATTTTCTTTCATACATTCATATCTGCTCGATGCGTATCCAAATGTAATTAAATGACGTCACACATTACGAAATGGACAAAGTCTGACAATTATTTTAAGACATTTTTTTTATGATTATACGTTCTTTTTATAGCTACCAATATTTTGTACAATTCATAATGTGAATACTTTTCGGAGAGATTCCGAAATTTGTTTTTTCCATATTCATTTAAAAAAATAAATGTAAACAATGCTCATAAATAAGCTACCGTATTGTTTTCTGTTTTCAAAATTAAATATATATATATATATATATATATATATATATATATATATATATATATATATATATAAATATATATATATATATATATATATATATATTCAGACAGGTTTTGCTAAATAATTTAAACACGTTCGGTTCATATTGTATTTATTCCGAGAACTTTCGACATAGCATAATGTCATCATCAAGGTATTGTTAAATATAGAGTAAGTATTTAGTTTTCATGGCTGTGAATGACAAAAATTTTTGTGGTCATCCGAAGATTATCATTTTTTATATATGGAGGCCCGAACGCTATGTCATGGCTTTAAGGGGAGGTAACTATGTATGCTGTAGAAAAGTTCCGGGTTTGAGTAGTTGATAGATAAAGGAAAAACTATTAATGACAAGCACTAACATTTAAAGACTATCTATCTATCTATCTATCTATCTATAAAATAAAGTGAAAGAACAGTAAGATTTATAATCCGGTGTTCTTATTAATTATTTTTATTTAAAAAAAAGTGCTCAATACAATTCAGCAGAGCATAAATATTATAAATTTACCTAACATCGCCTGATGATGGAACAATTTTAAGTTCCGAAACATAGAAATTTTTATGTGGCGGTCTAAAATATTTTTTTAAATAAAAATATTATCAATATATATATATATATATAGTTTCGCATTTGTTATATTTATACAGGAAGTGTGGTCTGATATGCAACACACTAAACCTTTGACAGTTCTAACGATTTCAACCATTCCCTGGAAACAAGACATTAGTCTGGTTAAAATGAGATGGACTCAAACTCACGTCGTATCTGTGTTTTTGTTAGAAAACGTTATTGCTTACGCCCATATCATTTCATCCAGACACTCACCTCTGACATTTTGTAAACTTATTTTATCCTGCTCTACAGAATGTTCCTTTAACGACTCCCTAGGTCACATAAATATACAAACTAATGGTATCACAATATTAAAACCTATTTTTACACTTTCATAGTGCTTTGTCTCCAGTTTGGGGGTTAACTATTTGCCCATAGCTGGGACCCTAACAGGTGCTACCACCCCGGGTCAGAGTCGACCTGGGATCACCAGCAATTAAGAGGTGGTTCCATGCTCCTCAAAACCTCCTTATCAAAAGCCTGGCTGTTGCATGTAGTTTATCGTTATACCCAGGATTGATTGTTGGTAATGATAACGGTGAAATTAACCGTTTCCATACAGGAAATGTTAGGCATTCGATGGCTGAGCAGTTAATGTTATCGTCGATTGAAATTTCTAAAACCTTCGTCTCAAAAGAGTTCTTTAGGGAAATAGAATTTTCAGTTCGGTAAAGTCTTACAGCCGGGATATCGACGTGAGTTCTCCTTTAATACGTTGGAATCAAAAAACATTCGATTTTTTCAAAATATAAATATATTCTTCCATGAAGAATTTTATTTCTCTTCTTAGTAATCTCGGAAAAGAAATACTTAAAATATTTAGTATCGTGTTTTTTTTTTTTTTTACCTCATTGTTGTAGAGTAGTTTTCACAGTGGAGGCTTGTATTTCGCTAAGTCGGTCCTAAAAGGGTCCGACGTACAAAACGTTAGGAACTTGAAATAAGAGTTAATGACGCAGCAATCTAGTTGTGATGGTTGATACTTCAATGTCCGACATCGACTGACTCACTCAACTCCACTGAGTATTTATCGTTCCACCCACTACTACTATGGCACAAGGCCGGTTTTATTAATAATAGAATCACCGAGCCCGTAGCCTCGGCCAAAATCCATAGCCTTTGAAGCCTGTTAGACGGGTTCAGGCCCTGCCTACCTCCCCGGACGAAACCTTGCCCTTCGGCAAAGCCTCGTCAGGGTTCCTCTCTGCTAACGCAGAGTGTTCGACAGAAGGCGCGCGCAGTCAGAGACCGCTCAGCACCACTGAGTATTTATCATTTCACCCACGGGAAACGAATATGGCACAAGGCCGGTTTTATTGTGGGTATCACCGAGCCCGTAGCCTCGGCCAAAAAATAGCCTTTGAAGCCGATTAGACGGGTTCAGGCCCTGTCTACCTCCCCGGACGAAATTCTTGCCCTTCGGCAAAGCCGCGTCACAAGTTCCTCTCTGCAAACGCAAAAGTTCGACAGAAGGCGCGTGCAGTCAGAAGCGCTCAGCACCACTGAGTATATATCATTTCACCCACGGAAACGAATATGGCACAAGGCCGGTTTTATTGTGGGTATCCCCGAATTGTAGGCTCGGCCAAAAAAATAGCCTTTGAAGCAGATTAGACGGGTTCAGGCCCTGTCTACCTCCCCCGACGAAACCTTGCCCTTCGGCAAAGCCTCGTCCGGTTCCTCTCTTAACGCAGAGAGTTTCGACAGAAGGCGCGCGCAGTCAGAGACCGCTCAGCACCACTGAGTATTTATCATTTCACCCACGGAAAACGAATATGGCACAAGGCCGGTTTTATTGTGGGTATCCCCGAGCCCGTATAACTCGGCCAAAAAAATAGATTGAAGCCGATTAGACGGGTTCAGGCCCTAGTCTACCTCCCCGGACGAAAATGGTGCCCTTCGGCAAAGCCTCGTCCAATTTTCCTCTCTTGCAACGCAGAGAGTTCGACTGAAACCGCGCGCAGTCAGTGGGAGAGTCTATTACAATAGAATAGGTAATGTTCTGGTATAACACTCACAAAACGAACAAATTTGTGCCTCTATTTCTTGGATATTAACCTTCTTTGACTTATACGATAAATTCTCTTCCGACAAAATTAGAAAGAGTGTTTCGAAGTCAAAGTTCATTTACTGTTCAAACGAAATCGTAGACAAAAAAAAAAGTAAATAAAAGTCCTTATCTTTTCTTTCAGATGCAATAAAAGTTGGGGTTATATTTGAAGTAATCGATTTCTTGCGAGTAAAACAATTTGATCAGATTAATTATGTAATTGATTTATTTTTCAATACCTAATTCGATCAGCTGGTAAATTATGAAAATGTGACAAAAACCGCACTTAAGCTGCTCAGCAAAGCGGTGCGAGGCGGTAAACGGACGATCGAGTTCGCAATTTTTTGGTATACGAATGTTTGTAAACAAATTTTAGAAAAAGAATGGGAAAATCATAGTGAATATAGGTATTCCCATTCATTCAAGATGTATGTATTCCCAGTTATTCATGATGAAGTTATTTCCATTTATTCACGATGTAAATATTCCAATTTATTTACAATGTAGGTATTCCCATTTATTCATGATGCAGGTATTCCCATTTATTCATGATGTAGGTATTCCCATTTATTCATGATGCAGGTATTCCCATTTGTTCATGATGTAAGTATTCCCAATAATTCATGATGTAAGTATTCCCTATTATTTATGATGTAAATATTACCATTTATTCATGATGTAAATATTCCCATTTATTCATGATGTAAATATTCCCATTTATTTATAATGTAGGTATTCCCATTTTTCATAATGTAGGTATTCCCAGTTATTTATGATGTCGGTATTCCCAATTATTGATGATGTATTGATTCCCAATTATTCATGATGGAGGTATTTCTAATTATTCATGATGTATGTATTCCCATTTATTCCTAATATAGATATTCCAATATATGCATGATGAGTGCGACTCGATTTTGAGTAATGCTATTACGTAATAGGTTCTTGAATATGGCCAATGCGGATGAGGATTTTTAGTCCTGTGAGGGACTTACACTTTTAGGGTAGATGTGGCAAGTTTGGGCGCCTGTTGCAATTGGTGTTGCAGTAATAGGTTGCTGGACTTAACGTCTTATGACGTTTTTGTTCTATCAAATACCACATATACTTCTCTGTGTCGGGCGATTTTTAGGCCTCCTCTATTTAGACAGACACGGGCATAGTCATTATACGTTAGGTTAAACTCCGTGCCAACATTCTCAGGGAGATTAACATCATGAACCCTACGAACATCTCTCTTGAGTATTTTTTTTCTATATGCTAAAGGATTATTTTCTCTTAACATTTTACAAAATGCTTTCCTCTCGGTTGAACAATTTGCTAGATTCACGGACTTCCCAGTGATTTTGCATGATGTTGGCCTTCTTCAGGGTGCACTTGACGCAATCGTCCTTCATTCTGGCCACATGATCACACCATTGTAACCGGTGCTGAAATAATAGAGACTCCATACTGGTAAACTGACCGTGTTCGGGAATATCAATGCCATGCATATTAACTTAATATAAGAAAAAATATATTTAAAAATAGTGACAAGGGAACTAATTCTACGATGTACACCTTTGTGCAAATTAATTGAAACAAAACGAATAATTCCGTCATTATTTAGGGGTTTTTTTTGTATTTTTCCAATGAAACATGACCCAGTGCACATGTTAGTACTTCGTATGTCCATTCCACGAAGTCGTTCCTTGCAGATTTACCACGGATTCTCGATTGGATTTGTTGTGGATTCCGGGATGAAATCCGGTCTCAAAATGAATGACAAACGCAGGAATGAAATATAGCAAATAAATGTATTGACGTAATAATACAATTGGTAATACGGTTAGTAGATCCAGAAATGCGGTTAGTAGCAATAATAATATATATACAGTCTGGGAAATTCAGTATCGAAAATGACTTTTCTTCTGAGTCTACGTGCTCGCAACTGTGACTCCTACAAAGCGGTTCCTCAATTCACTGACTCTTCAAATAAATCTCCCTTATTCACCGTCAGCAGTACAAGAACACACTAGCACAAGAGTCCACTTGTATAAAAAAAAACCCAATAACAATAGATTTAAATCAGGAGAGTTTCCGGGCCAGTCTATAATACTTTGATTTGTTCACTGACAAGGCTTGCTTGTGTGTTTGTGCAGCGTTAAGATTTTCGTAGGCTTCCTTGGAGTAATGCCCATCGCAGACAAATTTCATCATAGACCCGGAAAATAAATTCATATTACTGCACACCACTGCAAATGACCTAATCTGACGAAAAAATGAAATCGATTACACCCTGTCACATTTCTCATGCTCAACGGGATTCTGTTCAAAATCTCTCTTACCATTGTACAAAATGCCTTTCTGTCGGATGAAGAATCTGCTAGAATCGTGGTCTTCCCAGTCATTTTGCATGACGTTGGCTTTCTTTAAAAAAAATCTCTTTCGACGCAATCTTTTTCTTCCATTTAGGTTCGTGTCGTGGTCTTTTTAATTTCGGCCAAAAATCACCGTACAGAAAAAACTCCCGAGGATCCTATCGTCCTTCATCCTGACCATAAAACCACTCCATTGTAATTGGGGCGTGATATACTGAAGACTCTACACTCACTGACACTGTGACGGCATTCAAAATATATTTGGCCAATAGATTCCCAGTATATTGTGGAGACACTACTGGTGAAATCACAGCAACCTGTTCATGAGTCTTTGGTAACTGATATTGAAGATCTAACATCCATACAAAAATAAAGAACAAA